AGGCAGTAGGTAAAATGAAAGGGGGTAAGGCAGCGGGATTGATGGGATAAAGATAGAAATGTTAAAAGCAGGTGGGGATATAGTTTTGGAGTTGTTTTGGTGCAATTATTTAATAAATGTATGGAAGAGGGTAAGGTACCTAGGGATTGGCAGAGAGCATGCATAGTTCCTTTGTATAAAGGCAAAGGGGACAAAAAAGAGTGCAAAAATTATAGGGGATAAGTCTGTTGAGTATACCTGGTAAAGTGTATGGTAGAGTTATTATTGAAAGAATTAAGAGTAAGACGGAGAATAGGATAGCAGATGAACAAGGAGGCTTTAGGAAAGGTAGGGGGTGTGTGGACCAGGTGTTTACAGTGAAACATATAAGTGAACAGTATTTAGATAAGGCTAAAGAGGTCTTTGTAGCATTTATGGATTTGGAAAAGGCGTATGACAGGGTGGATAGGTGGCAATGTGGCAGATGTTGCAGGTGTATGGTGTAGGAGGTAAGTTACTGAAAGCAGTGAAGAGTTTTTACGAGGATAGTGAGGCTCAAGTTAGAGTATGTAGGAAAGAGTGAAATTATTTCCCAGTAAAAGTAGGCCTTAGACAAGGATGTGTGATATCACCATGGTTGTTTAATATATTTATAGATGGGGTTGTAAGAGAAGTAAATGCGAGGGTCTTGGCAAAAGGCGTGGAGTTAAAAGATAAAGAATCACACATAAAGTGGGAGTTGTCACAGTTGCTCTTTGCTGATGACACTGTGCTCTTGGGAGATTCTGAAGAGAAGTTGCAGAGATTGGTGGATGAATTTGGTAGGGTGTGCAAAAGAAGAAAATTAAAAGTGAATACAGGAAAGAGTAAGGTTATGAGGATAACAAAAAGATTAGGTGATGAAAGATTGGATATCAGATTGGAGAGAGAGAGTATGGAGGAGGTGAATGTATTCAGATATTTGGGAGTGGACGTGTCAGCGGATGGGTCTATGAAAGATGAGGTGAATCATAGAATTGATGAGGGGAAAAGAGTGAGTGGTGCACTTAGGAGTCTGTGGAGACAAAGAACTTTGTCCTTGGAGGCAAAGAGGGGAATGTATGAGAGTATAGTTTTACCAACACTCTTACATGGGTGTGAAGCATGGGTGATGAATGTTGCAGCAAGGAGAAGGCTGGAGGCAGTGGAGATGTCATCTCTGAGGGCAATGTGTGGTGTGAATATAATGCAGAGAATTTGTAGTTTGGAAGTTAGGAGGAGGTGCGGGATTACCAAAACTGTTGTCCAGAGGGCTGAGGAAGGGTTGTTGAGGTGGTTCAGACATGTAGAGAGAATGGAGCGAAACAGAGTGACTTCAAGAGTGTATCAGTCTGTAGTGGAAGGAAGGCGGGGTAGGGGTCGGCCTAGGAAAGGTTGGAGGGAGGGGGTAAATCAGGTTTTGTGCGCGAGGGGCTTGGACTTCCAGCAGGCATGCGTGAGCGTGTTTGGTAGGAGTGAATGGAGACAATTGGTTTTTAATACTTGACGTGCTGTTGGAGTGTGAGCAAAGTAACATTTATGAAGGGGTTCAGGGAAACCGGCAGGCCGGACTTGAGTCCTGGAGATGGGAAGTACAGTGCCTGCACTCTGAAGGAGGGGTGTTAATGTTGCAGTTTAAAAACTGTAGTGTAAAGCACCCTTCTGGCAAGACAGTGATGGAGTGAATGATGGTGAAAGTTTTTCTTTTTCGGGCCACCCTGCCTTGGTGGGAATCGGCCAGTGTGATAATAATAATAAAAAATACACTTTTCCTGGTATATTCAGTAAACTTATTCCCCTATAATTTTTACAATTTCTGATGTCCCCCTTCCCTTTATATAAAGGAACTATACAAGCTCTCTGCCAATCTCTAGGTATCTTCCCCCTCTTTCATACATTTATTAAACAAAAATACCAACCACTCCAACACCATATTTGACTTTTTTGGGTTATCGTAGGTTCTCTACACATATGCTACTATGTATGATAATTCTATGTAACTGTATTTGTGTATACCTGAATAAACTTACTTACTTACTTACTTACTTACTTACTTATATCCCCATGTCCCCCCACCATTCATCACAACTGTCAGACACTGCATCATTGTGGGATCTTGATACAAAGAATTCTCCAACTTGTCCTACCTTCGGACGAAGACCTACTTCGACTAGTGGATGGTACCACTATGACCCTGCCTCCTCCTGCTTCACCTCACCTGACTACAGTATATAAGCCACGTCTACAGCCCTATGCTGTACATTCTACAAGATTGATGGACTGAACACATCGACTCCAGGCTGAGGGACTGATTACCTCGATCTCCTCCTCTCCTTGCACCTTTCTGCTTTGTATTGGACTGATGAAGCCACTGTGTGGCGAAACATTTCCTTAATAAAGATTCCTATATGGTGCATAAGTGTCTCAATCTCAACTTGTTGGTTTTCAAAACCATTCATCACAACCATATCCCCCCTGCTTTTATCATTTGTGTCATGATTGCATCAGTTCCAGCTGCTTTACCCCCTTTCATTCTATGTCATGCCTCTCGCACCTCCCCCACACAAACATCCTGCTCTTCTTCACTCCTAAAACATGTTATACCTCCCTGACCAGTGCATGAAATTTCCACCTCCCTTTCTTCATTGACATTGAAAACATCCTTAAAATATTACTGCCATCTACCCAATACCTCCAGCTCTCCATGTACCAACTCCCCTATTCTATTTTTAACTGACAAATTCATTCGTTCCCTTGGCTTTCATAACTTGTTTATCTCAATCCAAATTTTTTTCTTGTTTTCATCAAAATTTCTTGACAGTGCCTCTCCCACTCTATCATCTGCTCTCCTTTTGTACTCTCTCTCCACTCTCTTCACCTTTCTTTTACTCTCCATATACTCTCCTTTTGTACTCTCCACTCTCTTCACCTTTCTTTTACTCTCTATATACTCTGCTCTTCTTATAACATTTCTGCTTTGTTAAAACCTCTCATAAGCTACCTTTTTCTCTTTTATCACACCCTTTACTTCATCATTCCACCAATCACTCCTCTTTCCTCCTGCATCCACCTTCCTATAGCCACAAACCTCTGCCCCACATTCTAATACAGTGGACCCCTGACTAACGATATTATTTCAATCCAGAAGTCTGATCGGGTGCCGTTACAGACCAAATTTGTTCCCATAAGGAATATTGTGAATTAGATTAGTCCGTTTCAGACCCCCAAAAATACACCTACAAAAGCACTTACAAAAATACACTTACATAATTGGTCAAGTTGGGAGCTGATCGTTAGTCGGGGGTCCACTGTACTGCATTTTTAAAACTATTCCAACTCTCTTCAAGCCCTCTCCCCCCCCACTACTCATACTTGCACCAGCCCACTTTTCTGCCAATAGTTGCTTATATCTCACCTTAACTTCTTCCTCCCTTAGTTTATGCACTTTCACCTCTCTCTTACTTATTGCTATTTTCCTTTTGTCCCATCTACCTCTTACTCTAACTGTAGCTACAGCTAAATAATGATCCAATATATCAGTTACCCCTCTATAAACATGTACATCCTGAAGCCTACCCATCAACCTTTTATCCACCAATAAATAATCTAACAAACTGCCTTTATTACGTGCTATATCATACCTTGTATACTTATTTATCCTCTTTTTCATAAAATATGTATTACTTATTATCAAACCTCTTTCTACAGATAGTTAAAGGCTCCCCATTTTCATTTACCCCTGGTACCCCAAATTTACCTACTTCTCCCTCCACAGTATTTTTACCCACTTTAGCATTGTAATCCCCAACCACAAGTACTCTCACACTTCGTTCAAAAATCCCCATGCACTCGCTCAACATTTACCAAAACCTCTCTCTCTCTCCTCTACACTTCTCTCTTATCCAGGTGCATAAATGTTTACTGTAACTCACTTTTCACATCCAACCCTTATTTTATTCCACATAATCCTTGAATTTATACATTTATATACCTCTTTTTCTGCCGTAACTTATCCTTCACATTATTGCTACTCCTTCTTAAACTCTAACTCTGTTTGAAACCCCTGACCTAATCCCATTTATTTCTCCCCACTGAAACTCTCCCGCCCCCTTCAACTTTGTTTCACTTAAAGCCAGGACATCCAGCTTATTTTCATTCATAACATCCTTTCCCCAAAATGTTACAATGAATGCAGACCGTTACATCAACATTCTTGAGGACCACCTTCTGAATATTTTTGAAATTCGTGGCTGCACCAATTCTTTGTATGATAGTGTTTCCTGTCACAAGGCCAAAAAAAAAAAAAAAGAGGCTTGCTGAGAAAAATATTGAACCTTTACAATGGCAAGGGAAAAGTCCAGACCTCATTTCTATTGAGAATGCTTGAAATATTATGAAAAGGATGATAGAATCCTGCCACATTTCATCTATGTTATGCCTGCAGCAGATGAAGGACATTAGGGTCAACCAGTTATCCATTGATTACTTAAGGAATCTGAGTGAAAGCATGCCCAAATAGCTTCAAATGGTCATCAAGGCGAAGGGGGAGATGATATAATATTAATGCAAGTGTCAAGTATTACAGTTTTTTTTTCTAAAATATTGTTGTTCTTAACTATTTTTGTAATAATAAAGAGGAGGTCTGGATTATTTTTGCAAGCAGCATGCATTTTTACATTAATGCTTATTTTACACCCGGTGCCCTCTTGGCCTGGTGGCTAAAGCTCTCGTTTCACACACGGAGGGCACGGATTCAATTCCCGGCGGGGTGGGAATATTTTGACATGTTTCCTTACACCTGTTGTCATGTTCACCTAGAAGCAAATAGGTACCTGGGTGGTTGTTAGTCGACTGGTGTGGGTCGCATCCTGGGGGACAAGATTGAGGACCCCAATGGAAATAAGACAGAGAGTCCTCGATGATGCACTGACTTTCTTGGGTTATCCTGGGTGGCTAACCTTCTGGGGTTAAAAATCCAAAGAAAATCTTATTTTATCTTACAGTGCAACAAGTTGTGCGGAGTTGGCCGTCAGTACCGTAAAGTAAGATGTCATGTGATATCAGCTGGAGAGATCAAAGTACTTGATGATAGTGCCTGTACAGAAGAGAAACCTGAGACAGAGAAGGCCTGTGAGGGTATTCCTTGCAGTGGTGTTGACTGGGTTTCTTCAGACTGGACAGGGGTAAGTTAACATAGTGCAGTAATTGAAATTTGCAAAAAGTATGGGGTTGTATTAATATTGGTAGAATTACCAACAATATGTTAAGTAAAAAGACACAAATGCAACTAATGTGACATTTTATTGCAGCAACGTTTCGCTCTCCAGGAGCTTTATTAAGCCGTAACAGCTTGATAAAGCTCCTGGAGAGCGAAACGGTACCACAATAAAATGTCACATTAGTTACATTTGTGTCTTTTTACTTAACAAGTATGTGCTTGTATGTCTTGATAAACAGAAGAATATATGAGGGATTTGAACTATGTCTATAATTGTAGCAGGCCCAGTGTTGTAACCAGTAAAACAGAGCTTGCAAATAGCATGATTTTACAAGCAGCACTATTGTGATAGTGTTATATCAGTGACATTAGCTGTGACTCAACACTCATCCCACAGCCCCAGAAGCTTTCATTGTACATGTACATCTATTGTCATACCACTCAGAACCACATTTCCCACAAACCATATGTTGTAATGAACTCTCTCCTAATATGTAAGCAATAGAAAATGTTGAAGACATGCTTTTTTTTTTTTTTATCACAATTTCATGGCCTGTAGTTGATGCAGTATATATTGCTGTCATCCATTTTTCTTTCAGTTTTTTATTGGTCCTTATGATTTTCATTTTATCTTCTTCCCAAATACTTTGTTCTTATATACAGTATAGTTAGCTTCTGTCATTTTTCACTCCATATTTTTTTCCAATTTTGTTGGATGAAGAATGGCAATTGTGTAATCATCTATTTCCCTTGTTTTGTACTTCAGGAGCATAGCTAAGCTTGTGGGGTCCTGCATTCAATATGTGATGTATGATGAAGCTTTTTAAAGTTCAATGTATATCAGAAGTTGGTGAACTTTTTTGGGTTTTACCCAAAAACAGATTTGTGTACAGCGAAATTATCCACTAGACTGGACAATGCAAGGAGCATTTAAATTCAAAATAGTTTATTGAATTTATTTTTATGGAAAATACAGTCATGCGAGCTGAAAAGTGTGTATTATACACGATAAAACAGCTTTAAAAATAAAACACAAAATTAACAAAATAGTAAAATAAAAAATAAACTGTATAAAATTAAAAATAGTAACAGACAAATTTAATAATAATGTCATTAGGAATTCTTACCAGTTTTACATTATTGCCAGGTTAAGAACTGGTCCTTATAAATTAGATTTTTAATTTTATTAAGAAACTGAAAATTATTTGTTTGAAAAATATAACTTTCACATATTGCCTTGCTTATTAAAAAATAAATTTTTGTGCAGTTTTATTTGTTTTTATTGAGCTTTCATTACCCCTGAGATTTTCATTTTGATCCCATTTGGGGTAATTTGCTCCTGTTCCCTGATTTAGGCTGTAGATGTAGCAGCTACCACTTCTTCTTGTAACTTTTTGTGAAGAACCTTCTAATATATTTTAGCACCTTAGTTTATACCTGTGACTTGTTATTGGCATCAGGCAATCTTTTTTATCATTTTATGCATATCTTTTTATGATTTTATATTTAGTTATTATATATGCTCGTTTTCTCCTATCAACCAAAGATAGCATGTTCAGTGTTATATTATTGTGTTTGTGTATGTATGTTTAGTGTTGCTGGTTCTGATCATTTACATTGTACTACAGTGTGGAAACAGCTGTGGCTTGGAGAAAGAGTCCCGAACAGTGCTGTGCGTGAGTCAGAAGGGTAAAGTTGTGGAGGATGAATATTGTTCATTAACACGAATGCCACCAGTAACTCGTAACTGTACTGATGCTACAGAGTGTGAATTCCAATGGTATGCTTCTGAGTGGAGCGCAGTAAGTATCCATCCCCTTGAATGTACATATTACTTGATAAGTATCTTGTTTGAAGCAGTTTTAATTATAGTGTAGATTAATAAATCTAATATATTTATGATTGGTGAAAATAATAATTATCTTGTAAGTAAAATACTGTATGTAGTATGTATCTTGCTGTTTCCTTTAAAACAATATTCAGAATATATCTCAAAGTAAATTATTTGAACATTGCCAGATAAGTATGATATACACAATTCACTATTATTTTAATGTAAATGTTGTAATGTAATATATGAGAGTAGTTTGTTACTCATGGACTAAAAATAGAAAATGACAGAGCTTAATAAAAAGAAATTTACTACTTTAGATATGAATAAAACCTCAGTAAAAGTAAAAAGTAAGAGGTGCTAATATTTTTTTTGTTTTTTTTTCAAAAAGTATAAAAAATTTTCAGGGTAAAATTTTTAAGAAGTAGAGGTCAGTTAGTTCTGTTTTGGGAAAATTCTGAAAATTTTACATTGTTATAAATCTATAGAATTACATACACTTTATTTTTGGATAAACTAGTTAAGATTTTGAAATACTTCATATCAACAATAATACAAGACCTAATTCAGTATTGCACAGAATATTTGAGCTACAGTAATTACACAATTCTCTAGTGTTCTGCTGACTGTGGTGAGGGCATTAGGACTCGACATGTCTTGTGTGCACAGTGGAAAAATAATCTCTGGGAACCTGTACCTGAAGTCCACTGTGATGCTGATAAACGTTTCAGTGATACTGAACGATGCAATGGAACAGAGACTTGTGAGGGCAGCTGGTTTGAAGGTCCTTGGAGCCGAGTAAGTAAACAGTGTCTTTAGTTTCATTTTGCAGTAACAGATCAATCAGTATACCATTTCATGATGTAAAGATGTCTGTCATACCATTGAACTAAAAATACAGAATTAAGATTATTATTTTATTATTTTCCAATTTGTATGGCAAAGAGGAGACAAATATGTAAGTCTTTCTAGTACTAAATAATGCTAGAATTTGATTTTCATTATTTTTGGACATTGTATTATCTTCTTTCAACAAACTAGTCATATCCCACTGAGGCAGGGTGGCCCAAAAAGAAAAACAAAAGTTTCTCTTTTTTAACTTGTATTTATTAAACCAAAATTGTAATTACGCATTGTAACCTTTACAAGGAAATAAAATCTTTATCTTTATCTTTTAAATTTAGTAAAGCACATAGGAGAAGGGGTTACTAGCCCCTTGTTCCCAGCATTTTAACCACCTCTTACATCACACATAGCTATGGAGGAAGAATTTTGTTCCATTTAACCATGCAGACAAGACAATATAAACCAGAACAAGAACTAGTAAGAAAATAGAAGAAAACACACAGAGGTGTGTGTGTGTGTATATGCTTCTTTCTTCTTCCAACATATCAGCCGTATCCCACTGAGGTGGGGTGGCCCAAAAGGAAAAACGAAAGTTTTTTCTTTCAAATTTAGTAATACATGTATATACAGGAGAATGGGTTACTAACCCCTTGCTCCCGGCATTTTAGTTGCTTCTTACGACATACATGGCTTATGGAGGAAGAATTCTGTTCCACTTCCCCATGGAGATAAGAGGAAATAAACAAGAACAAGAACTAGAAAGAAAACCCAGAGGGGTATGCATATGTATGCTTGTACATGTATGTGTAGTGTGACCTAAGTGTAAGTAGAAGTAGCAAGATGTACCTGAAATCTTGTGTGTATTTTTTTTTTTTTTTTTTTGACAAGTTGGCCATCTCCCACCAAGGCAGGGTGACCCAAAAAGAAAGAAAATCCCCAAAAAGAAAATACTTTAATCATCATTCAACACTTTCACCTCACTCACACATAATCAACAGTTTAGAAGCATATACGTATAAAGATACACAACATATCCCTCCAAACTGCCAATATCCCGAAACCCCTTTAGAGTGCAGGCAGTGTACTTCCCATTTCCAGGACTCAATTCCAGCTATATAAAAACCACCGGTTTCCCTGAATCCTTTCATTAAATATTACCCTGCTCACACTCCAACAGATCGTCAGGTTCCAAATATCATTCGTCTCCATTCACTCCTATCGAACACGCTCATGCACGCCTGCTGGAAGTCCAAGCCCCTAGCCCTCAAAACCTCCCTTACCCATTCCTTCCAACCTTTTCGAGGACGACCCCTACCCCGCCTTCCTTCTCCTACAGATTTAAATGCTCTCCATGTCATTCTACTTTGATCCATTCTCTCTAAATGACCAAACCACCTCAACAACCCCTCTTCTGCCCTCTGACTAATGCTTTTATTAACTCCACACCTTCTCCTAATTTCCACACTCCGAATTTTCTGCATAATATTTACACCACACATTGCCCTTAGACAGGACATCTCCACTGCCTCCAACCGTCTCCTCGCTGCTGCATTTACCACCCAAGCTTCACATCCATATAAGAGAGTTGGTACTACTATACTTCCATACATTCCCTTCTTTGCCTCCATAGATAACGTTTTTTGACTCCACATATACCTCAACACTCCACTCACCTTTTTTCACTCATCAATTCTATGATTAACCTCATCCTTCATAAATCCATCCGCCGACACTTCAACTCCCAAGTATCTGAAAACATTTACTTCTTCCATACTCCTCCTCCCCAATTTGATATCCAATTTTTCTTTATATAAATCATTTGATACCCTCATCACCTTACTCTTTTCTATGTTCACTTTCAACTTTCTACCTTTACACACATTCTCAAACTCATCCACTAACCTTTGCAATTTTTGTTTAGAATCTCCCATAAGCACAGTATCATCAGCAAAAAGTAACTGTGTCAATTCCCATTTTGAATTTGATTCCCCATAATTTAATCCCACCCCTCTCCCGAACACCCTAGCATTTACTTCTTTTACAACCCCATCTATAAATATATTAAACAACCATGGTGACATTACACATCCCTGTCTAAGACCTACTTTTACCGGGAAGTATTCTCCCTCTCTTCTACATACCCTAACCTGAGCCTCACTATCCTCATAAAAGCTCTTTACAGCATTTAGTAACTTACCACCTATTCCATATACTTGCAACATCTGCCACATTGCTCCTCTATCCACTCTATCATATGCCTTTTCTAAATCCATAAATGCAATAAAAACTTCCCTACCTTTATCTAAATACTGTTCACATATATGCTTCAATGTAAACACTTGATCTACACATCCCCTACCCACTCTGAAGCCTCCATGCTCATCCGCAATTCTACATTCTGTCTTACCTCTAATTCTTTCAATTATAACCCTACCGTATACTTTTCCTGGTATACTCAGTAAACTTATTCCTCTATAATTTTTACAATCTCTTTTGTCCCCTTTCCCTTTATATAAAGGGACTATACATGCTCTCTGCCAATCCCTAGGTACCTTCCCCTCTTTCATACATTTATTAAACAAAAGTACCAACCACTCCAACACTATATCCCCCCTGCTTTTAACATTTCTGTCATGATCCCATCAGTTCCAGCTGCTTTACCACCTTTCATTCTACGTAATGCCTCACGTACCTCCACCACACTTACATTCTGCTCTTCTTCACTCCTAAAAGATGGTATACCTCCCTGGCCAGTGCATGAAATTACCACCTCCCTTTCTTCCTCAACATTTAAAAGTTCCTCAAAATATTCTCGCCATCTACCTAATACCTCCCTCTCCCCATCTACTAACTCCCCTACTCTGTTTTTAACTGACAAATCCATACTTTCCCTAGGCTGTCTTAACTTGTTTAACTCACTCCAAAATTTTTTCTTATTTTCATTAAAATTTCTTGACAGTGCCTCTCCCACAGTGCTCTCCTTTTGCACTCTCTCACCACTCTCTTCACCTTTCTTTTACTCTCCATATACTCTGCTCTTCTTATAACACTTCTACTTTGTAAAAGCCTCTCGTAAGCTACCTTTTTCTCTTTTATCACACCCTTTACTTCTTCATTCCACCAATCACTCCTCTTTCCTCCTGCCCCCACCCTCCTATGACTACAAACTTCTGCCCCACATTCTAATACTGCGTTTTTAAAACTATTCCAACCCTCTTCAACCCCATCACTACTCATCTTTGCACTAGCCCACCTTTCTGCCAATAGTCGCTTATATCTCGCCCGAACTCCCTCCTCCCTTAGTTTATACACTTTCACCTCCCTCTTACTTGTTGTTGCCACCTTCCTCTTTTCCCATCTACCTCTTACTCTAACTGTAAAGTTTACACCTACATATATTAAGTTAGCAATAGAATAGGCATTAAAAACAATAAAAAAGTAAAATACACATATAGTTCACTCATTACTTACCTTAACCCCTTGACTGTCGCAGCCCCCAATCGCAAAATTTCAAAAAAAAAAATAAAATTATTTTTTCTTATGAAATGATAGAGAATCTTTTCCCGATTGTAATGACACCAAAAAACGAAATTTGATGGGAAACTGACGGAATTATGCTCTCGCGAAGTTAGCGACCTCAGCGATATTTACAAATCGGCAATTTCACCCACTTTGAGCCCTATTTTTTGCTAATTCCGTTGCTCCAGTCGACCAAACTCTTAGCTATTTCTTTAGAACTCCATTTTTTCTATCGATTGAGTACAAGAAACTGCCCATTTACCGATTTCAACTACCCAATAATGTGGTCAGAAATTTGCAATTTGGCCAATTTCATGAAAATTAAAAAATATAACAATTTCAAAATAAGGTCCAGAATGAACAATGCAGACATTCCTGGCTCTAAAATAACATTTTCTTTGTTCATCAGTCATGTGTCCAGGCCCCTCTGATATTACTCTTGCTTTCTATTTTGAATTTTTATTCAAACAAAAAATAGAAGACTTACTATTATGCAGACTACAGCAATACTGTAATAATTGTATAAATATCATCAACCCATTCATGACTGCATATTAGAATGGCTAGTCGGACATTTATTGGACAATGACATCATTTGTTTACTTTTGAACATTGGCAAAAATCAAACATTTCCCCTACTTTGAGCTCCATTTCCAGGTTCTTTTTATAGTGAAATCAATTAAAATCACCTTTATTTCTATAATATGTTTTCCATTCTATCAAATGAGACCAAGAAAACAAGAATACAACCATAAATACTGTACGAAAATAGACCACAAAGTCGGCATTTTAATTAAAAAAAATGGTCGGATTTTTTTTTTCTCATTATGCACTGCGTGCTCCAGGATTTTTTTATATGGTGCACACTGACCACACAGACCCATTCTCTCACATGTGGGCCTCCCAGCTTTCTCCTGCTTGATTCGAAGCCGCTAGAGTTTATGAGTATATATACATCAAACATGGTACCTCGTAAGACGTATATATACAGCCGCGACAGTCAAAGGGTTAAAATATTTATAGTCTTAATCTAGGGGGAGATGAGTAGTATTTATTGTAAGATATTGTAAGATATGTAATTATGTATTGTAAGATAACAAGTGTGGTATGTATGGTAGCCTGGCTGGCTACCATACATACCACACTTGTTATCTAGTATTTATATGCATTTATGAGGGAAAAAAAGGGTGTTCCACTTTATGTCGATTTCCACTTTTTGGCGGTAGCCAGGAACCTAACCTGCCGTATAAGTGGGGCCCTACTGCATATCTTTTCTTTGAAACTGCAGTGCTAAGCCATGCCAAAAGAAAACTTTTTTTTTTGTCATGGTCTTAAGGTACAGCTACATTCTGATACTTCCAAAATTGCAAATGTAAGGAAAACACCTGTGGTACTGAGTATTGTGTGTTATTTAACTGCTAGTCGGCATACATTAATTCTTCTTTTATCTTTTATTTTTAGCTGCACTATTTTGGCAATTAAGAATCTGTAAGTAAAGTCTCAAGTTTCACAAAGCAACAAATTGGTATTAATAATTTTCTTTTTAGTCACAGAAAAATAATGATCACTTCATGTTGTGATACTAAACCTGTAAAAAAACCTCATTAGCTGTTCTGATTAGTGGTTATCTGCAAATAACTAATGTAAATTAAAAAAAAATTGAAAAAGCTACCACCAGGTGCTCACAGAATTTGGTCAGTAGGTAACATTGTTTTTGGCATATTGAACTACCATACTTCATTTATGTAAAGAATAAGTCACAGTCTCATGGCTGGAACAATTCACAAATAACCACCACTTTCTAGAGGCAATTCCGCATACAGTACTTTGCATTTATATTTTCATTCATTTTCAGTGTGACAAGGAATGTGGTGGTGGTACTAAACATCGCAAGATTCTTTGTTATGTGGGCAGGAAACTTGCAACAGCAGTCCAGTGTGATGGCAATATCATTCCATATTCCATTGACTCCTGTAACAATAATCCTTGTGGTGAAGGTGAGGCATGAATATTTGCAAATTTTGATGATGAAGGTGCATATATTTAAAACTTTACTATTTTTTCTTTTATGGGTTAATATTATTTAATTTTTATCTAATACTGTAGATGAGGTACTCGTCGATGTTGATGTAGAAAGTGAAGAGGATTCCTGGTGTGATGAAGATGAGGTAAGCAATATCTTCGGTATTTATGTAATAAAAAAATACATGGTAACTGAAATTGAAATATATTATCAAAAGTCTAAACTGTGAAATAAGAGAACATCAAAAGTCATAAGTTACCTGTTTGTAAATATTAAAAGTGAGCATTCTACTTTCTTCATTAAATATTTAAAGAGTTAGGGAAATAATATTTATTGGGTCAGACGGCCGACTTGTTAAAAATATATATATATATACAGTGGACCCTCAACCAGCGATATTAATTCGTTCCTGAGAGCTCATCGTTAATCGAAATAATCGTTAATCAAGTTAATTTTCCCCATAAGAAATAATGCAAATCAATTTAATCCGTGCAAGACACCCCAAAGTATTAAAAAAAAATTTTTACCACATGAAATATTAATTTTAATACACACAAACTGAAGAAGACATGCACAGTTACATGACACTTACCTTTATTGAAGATCTGGTGATGATTGATGGGATGGGAGGAGGGGAGACCATTGATCTTCTTAGTGTTTAGAAGGGGAATCCCCTTCCATTAGCACTTGAGGTAGCAAGTCTTTTTCTGGGGTTACTTCCCTTGTTCTTTTAATGCCACTAGGACCAGCTTCAGAGTCACTGGACTTCTGTCGCACAACGTATCTGTCCATAGATACCTGTACCTCTCGTTCCTTTATGACTTACCTAAAGTGGTACAGGTTGCCAACACAGCTTGCAGTAGCTGTGTCAGGGTGATTTTCATCAAAAAAGGTTTGCACTTCAAGCCACTTTGCACACATTTCCTTAATCTTAGAAGTAGGCAACTTCTTCAATTTCTCTATCCCCTCCTCCGAAGCAGTTTCCTCAGGTCTGCCCTCTTGCTGTTGAAGATGATCTAGCAGCTCATCAGTGGTTAGTTCTTCATTGTCCTCCTCCACCAGCTCTTCCACATCCTCCCCACTAACCTCCAACCCCAAGGACTTCCCCAATGCCACAATGGATTCCTCAACTGGCATAGAATTCTCAGGGTTAGCCTCAAGCCCTTCAAAATCCCTTTTGTCTACACATTCTGGCCACAGTTTTTTCCAAGCAGTGTTCAAGGTCCTCTTAGTCACTTCCTCCCAAGCCTTACCTATAATGTTTACACAAATGAGGATGGTAAAATGATCTTTCCAAAACTCTCTTAGAGTCAGTTGAGTTTCTGAGGTCACTACAAAGCACCTTTCAAACATAGCTTTTGTGTACAGTTTCTTGAAGTTGGAAATGACCTGCTGGTCCATGGGCTGCAGGAGAGGAGTGGTATTAGGAGGCAAAAACTTCACCTTAATGAAGCTCATGTCCCTAGAAAGTCGCTCTGCCAAGTCTGAAGGATGAAGAGGAGCATTGTCTAATACCAGGAGGCACTTAAGGTCTAATTTCTTTTCAGTTAGGTAATTTTTCACATTGGGGGCAAATGCATGGTGTAACCAGTCATAGAAAAAGTCCCTAGCGACCCATGCCTTACTGTTTGCCCTCCACAGCATACACAAATTAGCCTTGACGACATTGTTTTTCCTGAACACACTCGGAGTTTCAGAGTGATACACCAATAAAGGCTTCACTTTGCAATCACCACTACCATTGGCACACATCAACAGAGTAAGCCTGTCTTTCATAGGCTTATGTCCTGGGAGTGCCTTTTCCTCCTGAGTAATGTATGTCCTGCTTGGCATTTTCTTCCAAAACAGGCCTGTTTCGTCACAATTAAACACTTGTTCAGGTTTCAGTCCTTCACTGTCTATGTACTCCTTGAATTCCTGCACATATTTTTCAGCCGCTTTTTGGTCCGAACTGGCAGGCTCACCATGCCTTATCACACTATGAATGCCACTACTCTTCTTAAATCTCTCAAACCAACCTTTGCTGGCCTTAAATTCACTCACATCACTAGTTGCTAGCATTTTTTTAATTAAATCGTCATGCAACTTCCTAGCCTCTTCACAAATGATCGGTTGAGAGATGCTTTTCCTGCTATCTGTTTCTCGTTTATCCACACCAATAAGAGGCTCTCAACATCTTATACCGCTTGCGATCTCAGTTTCGAAAACATAGTTGCACCTTTGGCAAGAACAGCTTCCTTGATTGCAGTTTTCTTGCCCACAATAGTAGCGATGGTTGATTGGGGTTTATTATACAACCTGACCAGCTCAGAGACACACACTCCACTTTCATACTTAGCAATGATCTCTTTCTTCATCTCCATAGTAATTCTCACCCTTTTTGCTGTAGGGTTGGCACTAGAAGCTTTCTTGGGGCCTATGGTGACTTATTTTGCAGGTGCAATCACTGCAAAGGCTGTGATAATATGAAATGTTCCAGTTGTATGTTTGGAAGCAACCTCGGTGGCTGGCTTGTAAACACTGGCACCCACGGGACAAGTGAGGCGCGCTCAGGCCAAAGTGGACGCGTCTCCTATGGAACGAATAGCGCTGGTCGGGTTTTTAAGCGCTAGTCGAGGCAAAATTTTTGCGTTAAAATGTATCGCTAGTCAGATTTATCGTTAATCGATGCCATCGCTGGTTGAGGGTCCACTGTATATATATATATATATATATATATTTGTTTTAACACACCGGCCATATCCCACCGATGCGGGGTGGCCCAAAAGAAAAAACAAAAGTTTCTCCTTTTACATTTAGTAATATACAGTGGTCCCTCGTTTTTCATAGTTAATCCGTTCCTGGAGTTGGTACTGTTATCGAAATCTATGATTTTGAATCAATTTTCCCCATAAGAAATAATGTAAATACAATTAATCCGTTCCTGACACCCAGGAGTATTAAAACAAAAAAATTTTTTACATGAAATATAGATGTAGTACATAAACAATACATGTACAATGGGAAATGATGAATGAAACATTAACAGCATAACACTTACCTTTATTGGAGATTCTTCTTAATGTATGGGAGACTGAAGGAGGAGAGAGACTGGATTGTTTACAGTTTGGAAGGGGAATCCCCTTCCAGCAACACCTCAGGTACCAATTATTTTTCTGGAGTTGCTTCTCTTCTCTGTTTCTTAATGCCACTAGGACCACCTTGAGAATCACTGGAGTCCTGTCTCGCAAAATAACTGTGGAGAGAGCTCTGTTTCTGGCGTCTCTTTAACACTTCCCTAAAATGGCTCAAGACTTTGTCACTGTACATGTTGCCAACATGGCTTGCAACAACCTGTCAGGTGATTTTTCTCCCATAAATTCTTTCCATCTTACCCCACATAGCAAAAATCTCTTAATTTCTGAAAAAGGGCACCTTCTTCCATCTCTCTTCCTCCTCCTCTGCACAAGTTTCCCTGAGCTGCGATCTGTTGCTGTTTTTTTGCTGAAGCTCTTGCAGCTCCTCAGTGGTGAGCTCTTCGTTGTGGTCTTCCACCAACTCTTCCACATCCTCCAAACTCACATCCAACCCCATGGAACTCCCCAGTGCCACAATTGATTTAACAACAGACATAGGCTTATCAGGGTCAGTCCCAAACCCTTCAAAATCCCTCTTGTCGAACACAATCTGGCGACAATTTTCTCCAGGCAGAGTTCAAAGTCCTGGTAGTCACTCCCCCCAAGCCATACCTAAAAGGGGTTATGCAATGGGGGATGCTGAAGTTTCTCTCCAAAATTCCCTTAGGGTCAAGTGAGTGTCTGTAGCACAGTCCAAGCACCTGTGAAACATTGTTTTGGGTGTAGAGCTTTTAAAAGTTTGCAATGACCTGCTGGCCCAAATGGGCCTGGAGGAGAGGATGTATTCGGGGCAAGAACTTTACTGTGATGAACCCAAACTCCTCGAAAATTAGGTCATCCAAGTTTAGAGGATGAGCAGGTGCATTGTCCATTACTAGCAGCACTTGAGATCCAATTTCTTTTCCAGGAGGTAATTCTTCACACTGGGGCCCAAACACTTCTTTGAACCACTCGACAAAATTTCCCTCGTGACCCATGCCTTACTATTAGATTTCCAAAACACACACATTTACTCTTCATAACATTGTTTTTCCTGAACACTCTGGGATTTTCAGAATGGTACACTAGTAATGGCTTCACTTTGAAATCCTCACTAGCATTAGCACAGAACATGAGCGTCAGCCTGTCTTTCATAGGCTTGTGTCTTGGCATTGCCTTTTCCTCCTGTGTAATGAAGGTCCTCTTTGGCATTTTCTTCCAAAAGAGGCCTGTTTCATCACAATTGAACACTTGTTCAGGTTTCAGTCCTTCAGCCTCTATGTACTCCTTGAATTCATGCACATATTTTTCAGCGACTTCCAGCAAGCGTGCGTGAGCGTGTTAGGTAGGAGTGAATGGAGACGAATGGTACTTGGGACCTGACGATCTGTTGGAGTGTGAGCAGAGTAATATTTAGTGAAGGGATTCAGGGAAACCGGTTATTTTCATATAGTCGGACTTGAGTCCTGGAAATGGGAAGTACAATGCCTGCACTTTAAAGGAGGGGTTTGGGATATTGGCAGTTTGGAGGGATATGTTGTGTATCTTTATATGTGTATGCTTCTAGACTGTTGTATTCTGAGCACCTCTGCAAAAACAGTGATAATGTGCGAGTGTGGTGAAAGTGTTGAATGATGATGAAAGTATTTTCTTTTTGGGGATTTTCTTTCTTTTTTGGGTCACCCTGCCTCGGTGGGAGACGGCCGACTTGTTGAAAAAAAAAAAAAAAAAAAAAAAAAAAAATCAGCCGCCTTGTGGTCCGAACTGGCAGCCTCACCATGCCTTACCACACTGTGTATGTTAGTATGGTTCTTAAATCTCTCAAACCAGCCTTTGCTGGCCTTAAATTCACTCACACCAGCACTATTTGCAGGCAATTTCTTTACCAGATCGTTGTGCAACTGCCTAGCCTTTTCACAAATAATTGAAGTCATAAGAGTATCTCCTGCTAATTGTTTCTCGTTTATCCACACCAATAATAACTTCTCAACATCTTCGAGTACTGGTGATCTCATTTTTGTCAGCATATTTACCCCCTTTGGAACAACAG